GGTCTATGCTGAGTCAAAATCATATCTTGACTATGTGATATACCATATATTCCCGTCAAAATGATGACAATTTATATAATTTACGATACGCCAAAGGTGTACCAGGTTATAAGAGAGTGTCATACCTATATTTTCGTTGACTATTTTAAAGGAAATCATGATAATTTTGTACATTTGGTTAGTCAGTGGTTCATGAAACTACTATAGAAATCTATGTTATAATGGTTTATCAAATTTGTAATAACTTATTACCTCGTTTTGGTAATAGAACAGACTGTCATACCATATACTATATATACTTCTCTTGTACTAATGTAAAAGAGACATGCTACTGCTCAATCCCTATGACATGTATAATAGTAGAAGTTGTAAAAGACTATTGACTATACTGCAATAAGAAATATGTTTTACTATTCAATAACACTTAAGCTTGATTACAGTCCAAAAGTAAAGAACAATTGTATGTTGGATTACATTGAGCTAAAAAACATATGTGGGTGAAGAAATATAACCCCTGTCCTTGCCAAAATGAGGATAGTCTAGTATTTTATGTTTTACGTTAAGTAAATTTAGGTATGTTTTAGTATTCTCGGTAAGCATTAGTTAAATTGGTCTTTACACACAAGTACGTACTATGTTAAAAGAGAATCATTGACATTTATGTATATTTGGTTATTTATGGATTCAAGAAACTACCATGGAACATTCGCTTCATTTTTTACAAAAATATGCTTATTAATTTGCAATATTTATGTTCGATTATTGTCCAAAAGTATGGACAACTGCTGGCATGTGAGAAAATGCCAATTTTGATGATGTAAAGCAATTGTTATTGCAGTTGTCAAAACGAATCTTTCTTTACCATGGGAAAATGACTCATTCATTTAAACCTAACTGGTAGATTATTTAAACCTAACTGGTAGATTATTTGTTATTTGTTGTTTTCATTGATACGGTGAAAAATCATTGAAAAGAATTGTACCCTCAGGGTAAACATTCTAAATTGCCACTTTATGTCATTCAAAGTAGCTGCCATACTAAGTATTAAATATTTGATTCCACTAAATACGTAAACTGCCATGGTACCACAATTGGTATAGAAATATTATACTATTATTATTATGCCTTTCACTTTCAACAACTTATACTGGGAAATATAAATGTGGGCATTATAATTGAAGTAAACAAAAATTACATATGTAATTGTTAGTAATATTATGTACCACGGATTATATTTGATACCGAGACATGGCCTGGGCCCTTTGCAGAAATACGATATGCACGATATTGTGGAACTGAAGAAAAATGATCCAGAAAGCTATGCCACTGTTATTATCAGTAATATCATAAAACCAGAGCCCAAACTAAAGTGGATTCATAAAAAGTGAAAACAAACTATAATTAAAACGGACGGAAAAGGCTGTAAAATGTATATTATGCTTTACCAGCATTACAGGACGGAAGTCGGAAATGTACACATATATATATTGTTTGCTGTTATATCTTTTGTTCACCTTTGTTGTACCAAAAAATTCCCAAATGTATGTTTGCTGCTGTTGATGCTTTATTACTCATCCCAAGAACTTGCACGGTCAATCAAACCATCTCCTTCTACTGCAAATCATTTAAGATAACTAATGAAACAAAATGTAAATAAGGAAAATCTAAAAATTCTATCTCTTAACTGCAGAGGTCTCAATAATGCTTTTAAAAGAAAACAGGTATTCAGGTTCTTAAGGCTAAAAAAGGCTAACATATTCTGTCTTCAAGACGTTCATTTCACTACTGAGCAAGAACAGCTCATTAAACAGCAGTGGGGCTATAGTGAATGTTATTTCAGCCATTTCCGAAGCAATGCAAGGGGAACAGCTATTCTTTTTAATAACAATTTTGAATTTAAGGTTACAGGTCAACAAATTGATATGGATAATGGAAATTACATTCTACTGACAGTAAAAATACATGATAGTGACTACACAATTATTAATGCATATGGACCTAATAAAGATTGCCCCGAGTCCATTATAAATATCAAAAATATGTTAAAACAACAAGAAAACGATAAATTTATAATATGTGGAGACTGGAACATGGTATTAGACAGTGACTTAGACACCTATAACTACAAACACACGAATAACCCAAAAGCCAGACAAGAACTATTAAACGCTATAACTCTATTAGACTTGAAAGACCCTGGAGAGAATCAAACCCCGTATAAAAACGTTTCACTTGGAGACAACCAACCCCGCTTAAACAATCAAGGCTAGATTTTTTCCTTGTATCACATAATCTCTTACAGGCAGTTACACAAACAGATATATCCCCAAGCATTAATTCGGACCACTCAATAATCTCACTAGCAATATCTTTGGGAGATACGATAAGAGGGAAAGGATTTTGGAAGTTTAATAACTCTCTACTCCACGATGAAAAATATGTTGAAAAAGTAAAAACTACAATAAAGAATACCTTACAACAATATGAAGTTAAAACGGAAGCAAAAGCTGAAGAAACAAGATATACCATAAATGATCAACTGTTATGGGAAATGCTACTTCTAGAAATTAGAGGTATGACTATATATTATTCATCTACAAAAAAAGAAAATGACTTTAAATAGGGAAAAGGCTTTGGAAAATAAATTGAGAGAATTGGAAATCGACCTGGATACAGAACCAGCTGGAAAAAAGACAGAAATACTTAAAAAAGTAAATGAAGTTAAACAAGACCTAGAAGAAATTAGTAAACAAAAGATAAAAGGTTTATACATAAGATCTAAGGCAAAGTGGATCGAACAAGGGGAAAAACCATCAAAGTACTTTTTACAATTAGAAAGCAGAAATTTTTTAAATAAATCAATAATGGAATTGGAAAAAAAGGACGGTACAGTGATAAAAGATTATAAGGAAATACTAGAAGAGACTAGAACATTCTACAAAAAAACTTTACTTAAGTGAAGACTGCACACAAATTAAATTAGAAGAATTGTTCATAGAAGATGAAATACCTAAACTGTCAGAAGAAGCTGCCTTATCTTTAGAGGGAGAAATAACATACAAAGAAACGCTTGTCGCTCTAAAGAAAATGAAAAATGATAAAAGTCCGGGCCCGGATGGCTTCTCCAGTGAATTCCTCAAGTTTTTTTGGAATGACTTAAATAAATTTCTAATTAACTCCTTGAAATATGCATATGAAAATGGTTCCATGTCCGTATCACAAAAACAAGGTCTTATTACTTGTATCCCTAAGAGTGGTAAAAGTAAAAATGCTAAAAACTGGAGACCAATATCACTACTAAATACCTCTTACAAACTAGCTTCTGCAGTTATAGCAAATAGAATAAAGACAATATTACCACTTATTATCAGCGAGGATCAAAAAGGTTTTATTCAAGGAAGATACATAGGAGAAGTCACAAGGCAGATATACGACGTAATGGACTATAGTGAATCATATCAAATTCCAGGATTATTACTGCTTATTGATTTTGAAAAAGCTTTTGACTCGGTTGACAGAAAATTTATGCAAAATGTAATGGATTTTTTTCAACTTTGGACCATGTATTCGAAATTGGATACAAGTATTGCTAAACGACAGTGAATCAAGCGTATTAGTAAATGGGTTTGCGAGTGAATTTTTCAAGATAACTAGGGGATGCCGACAAGGAGACCCAATATCACCTTACATTTTTATCCTATGTGCCGAAATACTAGCTATTCTAATAAGAAAAAATAAGAAAATTAAAGGGATAAAGATAGGTAATATACAAAGCCTTTTAGCCCAATTTGCAGACGACACTACAGTGACCTTAGACGGATCTGAATCAAGTTTGTATGCAGTTTTGAACACATTAGCTTTCTTTGCAAGATTTTCAGGGTTAAAAGTTAACGCAGAAAAAAACAGGCTAATATGGATAGGGTCAAAAAAACGATCCAGGTATAAGATGTGCAAGGAATGGAATCTGGATTGGACACAATCAAATTTTAAACTTTTAGGAATAGTTTTTGATGTTGAATTAAATAACATTGTAGACCTAAATTATAATGATAAATTTGGAAAAATCTACCAAGAAATGAATATTTGGTCTCTGAGATATTTGACACCAATGGGCAAAAATGTTATTTTAAAATCCTTGCTTTTACCAAAGTTAAACCATCTATTTTCATCCATCCCGAGTCCATCTGAAGACACATTACAAAAGTTCCAAAAAAAAAGTGTTTTAACTTTGTGTGGCAAGGAAAAACAGATAAGGTAAAGCGAGAAATTATGTATCTTAAACCAAAGGATGGAGGAATAAGTGTACCCATTGTAAGAATTACTATAATTGCGCAAAAAATAATGTGGATTAAACGGTTGCTGCTCAACAGTTCAAAATGTACATCTATTGCAAATGAAATCCTAGACATTGCAAATAAATTATGGTATGCTGATGCACAATATGTGTGCAATAATATTATTCCCAGTGTCTCAAATCAATTTTGGAGTGACGTGTTAATGGCATGGTGCCAGTACTTAAAAAGGTGTTACACAAATGTGCAAGAAATATCAGATATTTTCAACCAGTCTCTATGGTTTAATAATAACATTAAAATAGAGGGAAAGTCAATCTACTATGAAAATATGGCAAAAAAAAAGGAATAATGTTAGTATGTGATATCCTAGATCAGAATGGAAACTTCTTACATAAAGTTGATATAGAAAAAAAATATGGAATTGCAAACATAAACTTCCTTCATCTAGAAGGTATAAGTGTACTGTCTTAGCATATTGCAGACTCAGAAAAATACCCGATACAGCTTGGACCTATCAGGTTAAACACCCAACATTACCTTTTAATATATCTTGTATCTGCGGACAAAACCAAAGGAGTAAATCCTTTTATAATATACTTATACCTCCAGTTGAAACTGGACCAACAAGCCAAAAAAATGGGAACACATCCTCAATAAACAATATAACAAAGAAGACTGGTCTAATATATATTTAATGGCAAATAGATGTACAGAAAGCGTACAGTTAAGATGGTTTCATTTCAAGATTACGCACAATATTTTAACGACTAAACATAAGTTACATTTGATGAAATACACAGACTCTTCAATGTGCACATTCTGTGAATCTGCTCCTGAAACAATTATTCATTTATTGTGTGAATGTCGATATACCGTGAAAGTATGGAGGGAGGTATCCGATTGGCTGGATATACTGTCTGAAGGAAATATTGATTTGTCGCATGAAAATATTATCTTTGGTTTCAAAGGTAAAAACAACAACCCACTTAATCTGGTGTTTCTAATAGTGAAATAAATGCTATATAAAACAAGCCGAAATAATATAAAGCCAGTTTTTACAGTGCTTCAAAGGGAAATACTCAATTATTACAAAGCTACCAAATATACAGCATTTTCAAATGCAAACCCATCAAAATTCTATGCCTTCTGGTCTTCCTTCCATACACTTTTTGCCAATTATACCAACCTAGATGTCATGTAAGTACAATAAAATTTGATAAGTGCATTTGAATACAAGTACTGGTATACATATTAGCCTTTGTTAAGGATAACAGATACATTATAGCAATTTACCCTGAACATACGATGATTGCTTTTGTATTGATGTATTGATTGATTGTACTGATGGTGATGTTTTCGCTCAACGTCTGATGACGAGGATGTGTTGTATATGATGCCTTTGTACCACAACAACAAATGTACTCTGGGAAATAAAAATATTTTAAAAAAAAAAAAAAAAATGTTTTATGTCGTATGGAAGTATCCTGTTCCAGTCGTCATTGTAACATGTATGACACTTTGACTGGTGACCAAATGTATTATGACATTAAGTATACAGTCATTGCCTACGATAAATGCAAAGGTCTTAAGTCAGTATGCGATTATAGTGAGTGAGTTTAGTTATATGCCGCACCCAGCAATATTCCAGCTATATGGCGGCGGTCTGTAAATAATCGAGTCAAGACCAGACAATCCAGTGATCAACAGCATGAGCATCGATCTGCGCAATAGGGAACCGATGACATGTGTCAACCTAGTCATTGAGCCGTTAGTCGCCTCTTACGACAAGCATGGGTTACTTCTTTGAGTGGCAATTTAGAAGTTGGGAAGTACAATATAGAACAAACTTTATGGATAACAACTTCTTTTTATTCATGAGTGCGACGTTTCGATACAGATTCTTGTACCGTTGTCAAGCATAATGGAACATGAAGAAGGGGGAAGTCTATATGTACTGGATGTAACAATGTAACACAGAAAACAACATAATTAACATAATTGGCTAGGCAGAAAGCTGATGAAGCCAGAGAGTAGACAAAGGACAGGCGTGGAAGCCAATGATGTACAAATAATAATTAGATGTTTATACAGCAGAGTTACACAGTAGATTGGGCTCGGTGGATGAGTGCATCATAAGCGGATGGAATGAAGTATCCTTGGTCTCGGTTGATTGTGGGCCCAATCTACTGTATATACATTAATGTTGATAGCATGCATTCTCTGCACCTGAAGCACATACCAGTGTCAAGTTTAGAATCTCTTTTAGATATATATATATATATTTATGGCATTTGGACGTCGGATCAGTCTCCTTCTACATGACGTGATGCTATAATTGTTCCGTTACCAAAACCTGGACGTGATCTTACCAATTCTTCAAATTATCAACCAACTATACAAACAAGGTGCGTTCGCAAAACCGTGAAACCACATATATCAATGATCGATTAGGTTGGTAGTTGGAAACCAACAATCTCCTTACTGATATACAAAGTGGTTATGTAAAAACAGAAGTAACATCGATCATTAGTGCTTTGATAATCATTCTTCAGTTGTTGGCAGTCTATAGCCTGTTTTTTTATATTGTATCATCTTGTATAGTTAAAGTGTTTCAAATTTAATTACTAGTTTTTGCATCTGCGATAAATTGGTTGTTTTCTTTCCGTCACTGGCAGGTTTTTTTTTCATTACAGTACTTTGTCTACCTGCATGGGCCCTAACTGGATGTATATCATCCCTTCAGCCACTGGCGAGTGTACTGATATTTAGCCATAATTAAACAACAAATATTTTACGATTAAAAAGGTATGTAGAACTAAATTGAGGACAGGAGGACAATAATTGTACAGTACCTTAACCCCCTTCGAGGATACAGCCACTAACTATCTTAGCTGCTAATTTATTCTACCGATTATAAAATATCATTTATCTATACACAAAACATATCAATCAAAATTTATCAATCAATTCTTTTTCTTTTAAAAGCTCAATGATTAAATGATAGTTAATTTTACTAAAAAGATCCTTCACAGTTTTAACATTGAAATATTTATCCCGTGTGATGGGAAAATCAATGCAGTCAAGCAGGACATGCTTGACCGTGATTCTCTCACCACAAGGGATACAAAACGGAGGATCCTCACCTTTTAGAAAATATTTGTGTGTGCATCTTGAGTGGCCAATACGACATCGTCGCATGATGACCTCTTCAAATCTGGACTGACAACCCAAGTAAGTATAACCGATAGTTCATGTAACTTATTTATGCCTACTTCCTCTGCATTACATCACGAATGTATAATCGAATGGTTGCTTTGTAATCGGAGTAAGGAAGAAGAAGTGGTGTCACAGATTAGCTGAGTGCTGCCTTAACAGCAAGATCGGCCATGGTGTTCCCAGAAATGCCAACGTGGCTAGGTAACCAACAAAAGACGAAAAAGTCTTAAGACACAACATGGAGATACTGGATTTTTCAATGGTTTACACGATTTTGCCGTTTGTCTCACATCAAATCCGACCCGTGAAGATATGGCTTAGAAGTGGTCTTCAGTAATTCACGCTTGTTGTAAAGGGTGACTAACGGGATCGGGTGGTCAGGCTTGCTGACTTTGTTGACACATGATGTCATATCCCAGCTGCGTAGACTGTTGGTCATGATGTTGATCACTGGATTGTCTGGTCCAGACTCGATTATTTACAGACCGCCACAATATAGCTGGAATATTGCTGAGTGTGGCGTAAAACTAAAATCGCTCACTCACTCCTCCCTCAAATCCAAGATTCCGTGTGGGATCTGTCCTGTCTGACCATCATAGTCAGTATGTCCCGCTGGTCACTACTTTAGTCTGTCACATTATTTAGCATAAAAACTAATAGTTTATCAAAGATTTCAAGTGATTCAATCGCTGCTTATGGATGATTTCAAAAATGGTGTTTTGAAAACGGATATGTACTTTCAAAATCTAAAACAAACTGCATAAACTTTTGCCCTTCCTTCCCACATCAAGCCTCAAGGAACTCGATTAATTTTAAGTTGGAAACGGAGAGGGCACCAGTCTCTATGACAAGAGAAAAGATTTCTCAAATAAACTCAGACAATGCTGAAGACTACAATGAATTGTTTTCATTGCATGAGCTCAATACCGCCCTTGAGCCTATTCATGATAAAGCAACAGGGGTTGATAGTGTACACTATCCACTCTTTAAGCACTTGCCTGATTCCTGTGAGGAATTCCTTTCATTTATGAGAGGCAGATACATTGGAGAATGTACAAGACTGGTTAACGACATTATGGATTATACAGAATATACGAATAAACGAGGACTTTTGATACTTATAGACAAAGAAAAAGTTTTCAATTCAGTGGAATGGTCCTTTATCGAGAAATGTCTTGACCAAATGTTCGGACCATCCATCTTTTGCAGCATACTGACATTGTAGTCCCTATATCGAAGTCTGGTCGGGATCATGCAGATCCATCAAATTAAGACCAATATTTTCAACAACTCGTGTCTAAAACTAAAAAAAACCCTGGATCGAATGGTAAATAATAGCTTAAATTTGTATCTGGAAACAAATAATTTAATTACAAATATACAATGTGGTTTGCGGAATCATCGAAGTACTATTGACCATTCAATACTTTTTGGAATCCTTTGTTTTATAATGCCATGGTATCTAAACAACACGTAGTCTCAATTTTCTTTGATCTTGAGAAAGCATGCGCTACTACATGGTACCACAGCATTTTATAACGAAATGTTTTACAGACTGGCAATTTCAAGTCCGATTGGGGTCCACCCTGTCCGATCATTACAATCAAGGACAGGGTGTTCCACAGGGTAGTATTCTGTGTGTCACGTTATTTAGTATTAAAATAAATTGCCGTTTAAAGGTATTAACTGATTCAGTAGATGGATCACTTTGTGGATGATGCTGATGTGCCTTATCGTGATACAACAGAGAGGCTGTTACAAATCGTGGTACACTTACAGAATACCGGATACCTAATTATATACATTCTATTGTGCGCGTGAGGCTCCTATATATAGAAGAAACAGAGAGCGCGAGCCTGCGAGCGATTCAATAAACATACGAATTTAAGGTAAAAAATAAGGTTAAAAATCGAATTCCTCACCTTACTTCCGGTTTAGGAAACCTAAACTGGGGATTTTAACAGCATTCACTGACGTAAACAGAGTAAAAAAGTAATCGTGTGTTCAAATTTTATTCAAATGCATGCTGGGAAAGGAACTCTACAGTGTGGGAACACTCTGATGGTATGTGTTTTTTGATTGGTAAGGTAAGGTAGGTAAGGCTTTTAAATAAAGGGGGGTACCCCCTTTACCCCATTATATTACCTTTTTTAGCTTTAATATTGTTTAATATTTAATATTTAATATTGAACGCTGCCTCAACACAGCCTTCATTCATGGCGTGCCGTTGCTAAGGAAACAAAACGGAAGTGCGCAAAAATAAATGCGCAATCAAAATAGAAATGGCGGATAGGTATCCGGTATTCTGTAATCCTGCCGTTCATTTCTGCGGTACTTGAAAATATAAACCGTATTAAGACTATTTATTAAGACTTCAATAGCTATCCCATCAAAGTTGTCAGGAAGTCCAAGTCTTGGGTCTTATTTTCGACTCCCATTTAACCTTTCTGACACACGTTAAAAACCGTAATGCTAAAAGCCCGAAGGCACTCGATTTATT